ACCGTGACTATAATTTCGTCTTAAAGTAATTATGGATATGGTAACTTTTTAACCCTTTAGGAAAAAGTAAGAATAAAAGTCAAAAGAATGTAGGGGGAGGATGTATACTCTACATTTGGTCCCTCGTGACCCTAAATTTTGAGACCGTACTCTCCGGCCGACTGCTCAAATGAACCACCTCGGCACCAACGTGCTCGCCACAAGACTAGCCTTTCTCAACCTTTGAAATCACTTGTTCTATTTGGAATCGTGGATTGGAATGTTAGGCGTTCGAGAAACCCTGAATCACCTCATTCAATGTTTTAAAACCCAACAATTTGGATCGAAATCTTGTTACTCTAATATTGGATGGTTTGGCCGATCTAGATTGGTAATTTGCCGGGTCCAGTGAGTGGTCAATTCATTGGACTATAAGGGTTTCACAATACTGCCTTCGATTATTTGAAGGACTCGGTTTTCTGCGGCCAAGCCAGCATATGTAGAAATGCGGACCTCTTAATAAATTTATTTTTGAGATGGATTTTAAGGCTTAATTTTTAAGGAGATGTAATCTCTAACATAAAGATCATGAATATGAAAAATAAAAAATAAAATTAAATAATAATTGTAGTAAAAAAAATTTGGACCATTAATTTGTATTATTTTTAGATGGAACACCTACTTGCCTCCATCTTTAAGGTGGATGTTTACACTTTCTAGACCGTATATGTAGAAATACAGTCTATCCTCATGAAACAATTTTCTTTATTTAAAATTTAACTAAAAAAAAAAACATACTCTTTTGAATATTTTTGTACCGGTCCATCGGAATCCAATCCATGACGAGTCAAGACGATTCCGATTTTGAAGCTCATGACAAGTGTTTATTGGCGACAAAGGAATTCTCGTTTCCATCGGATCTCCTCAAAACCTACCACCCCCGGATTCTTGTGAAGTTACAGCGTTGTCTTTACTTTTTCTCAAACTTCCAGGATTACCCCTAACTATTGGCAAAATTATTCAAAATTTCAAATCGTAATTTTCATTTTTGAAATGTAGCTGAAATCATATGCTACGTTTTCCGGTAACTTCTTGCCGAAATTATTCAAAATTTCAAATCATAATTTTCATTTTTGAAATCATATACTACATTGGGTATCATGTATAAAACGTGTTCCCATGTATCTCTGGTGCGGGCCCACCCAATAGCTATGGGACCCGCTAGTCCATTCGATTGCAATTGCATGGGAAAAATGGACGGTGGATATCGTTTTGTATGTGCCTTAACATAGTATATGATCTGTAATTTTCAGTTTTTAACAAGTAGGTGAGCTGGGTTCCAAATTTTGTATGCTTTTGAGCTTTGACCTTTGACCTTTTCTCCCATGAAACGGCCACTTTTCAAAACGATAAAAGGAAGTTGTTGAAACATGGAAGTAAGGGGTAGGGCCTAAGGGAGAAATTTCAAACTTGCCCTTTCTGAGTTTTTTCAAAAAAAAAAACAAAACAAAAACAAAAACTTACGTAAATACCTGTTTTAGTTTATGTTATTACTAAAATATGAAAACCTTTCGGTTATTACTCGTATATATATTTTTTTAACTTCATAACAATTTTTTTTAAAAAAGGACAAAACTACTCTTTTTCAGTTTTTTCCAAAACAACCGAAACCACGTCAATTTCGGTTTTTAAAAAACCAAAATTTTTAAAATTAACCCAATTTCTTTATAAAACCCTGGTGAAAATCTTCATCAACAAGGCAAGCTCTCATAAAATCACAAATTTCAGGAGAGAAAGTACGAGAGAGGAATCTCTGTTGAGCTATGACAGCTACAAGAATTCATGCCCTCAAGCTGAGTTCATCATCCGTGATACTGTTAGCGAGCTCGCTTGAAACCGATCCAATGTCCCTGCTGTTCTCTTGCGCCTTGCCTTCCATGATTGCTTTTCTGACGTCTCTCTCTCTAATAAACTTTCATCTCTGTCTTTTAATAGTTCTTGGATTGTTTCTCTCTTTGTCCATGTTTCTTTGGAGGTTTTCTTCAGGTAGTTTCTTGTGGTTTTTCAAATTTGTGGTTTTTCTGTTTTCTCCCTCTAATTGAATCTAGGAGGTGGATTGATATAAGTTCTTCTTGTTTCTTTGGAAACAGTTCTCTGTATTCTGGTTCTATTTGTTTCTTGGGATATTTTCTCTCTTTAGTCAATTTCATGAGATGGTTTTCTCTCTATTCACTCTATTTCATGAGATGGTTTTCTCTCTCTTCTACTTGAGTAGATTTTTACGATTTGAAATTCTGAGATCAACATTAAAATCAAAACCTGAATTAAAATCTACTCAAGTAGTTCTCAAGGGACAGTTTTCTCAATCTTCTTTTTTCTTTGAATTTGATTGCATTTAAATGGGGTGGTTTTCTCTTTCGTCTTGTTTCTTTGAATTTCCTTGCAGCTTTTATAGAGCATTTCTCTCTCTCTCTCTCTCTCTCTCTCTCTCTCGCTCTCGTTTAGTTGGATTTCTTGCAGTTTCCATGGAGTAATTTTATGTCTAATTGTTTTTTGGCATTTTCTTGGCCAAATACATGGCATTTCAAAGGTTATTTCAGAATTCAGAGTTAAGAGTCCTCTTAAAATTTTCAGTTTGAAAATTTTAAAATTTTCGTTTTTTCAATAACTAAAATTGGATTGACTTTGATTTTAGAAAAACAGAAAATGGTAGCTTTATTTTTTTTAAAAAAAGTTATTAAGAAGTCCAAAAAATGGATATATAAGTAATAAATGAAAGTATTTTATATTTTGATAATAACATAAATTAAAATGGAAATTTGTGTAATTTTTTCAAAACAAAAACAAAAAGACCGAAGGACATATTCAAGTTGGGCTAGATTTTACTGTATTTTGTGTTTTATATATGAGAAATGACACTATGAGACCCTCCCATAGGCATGTGAGTAGGACCTCAAATGATCACCATCAAATTTTAGTACAAATCTTTAAAAAAGTTTTACTTTATTTTTTTAGGGAGTAATGATCGTATGAGACCTTCACACATCCATGTGTAGGACCCCGAAAGATCACCATTAAATTTGGTATAAATCTTTAAAAAACTCAAACCTCACACTCATATGATAACTTATATAGAGATCAGTACCAAATTTAATGGTGATCTTTTAAGGTTCCACACATATGGGTGTGGGAGGGATCTCATAGGATCATTATTCTTTCTTAGGTGTTACAAGTTTTTCTGGGTCGGATCGGAATTTGGAGTCACGTAGTTTGAGTTTAGAACCTAAAAATCATTTTGATTTTTTAGTTTTAGTGTCTCTTTGTTAAATATAGCCTGATCCGAATCAAGAATCTCTCAATACTGCACTGGCGAATAGCAATTGAACCCGTGACGAATAAAAACCGAATTTCGATTTTTTAAACATATGGTGGGCACTATAAAAAAAATTGGTGCAAGCTATAATGGCCACCCATGGGTTGAACAAAAAGAAAAGGAATTGATGCAAGAATAGCAAATATTTTAAAAGAAAAATGATATAAACAACAATCTATAGTTTCTAAACTTTGGAGATTTTATCAAAATACACCTAAGCTATTATTTTTAGCATCTTACCATTTTTAACCAATTCCAAATAATGACAATGTTTATTTTGATGGGCTGTATGAAATAAATTGAAAATAAATAAGTACAGTATTGAATAGTTAATCTCTTAGGTGCAATTTGATCAATTTGTCTTACCTTTGCATGATCTTATGATTTTTCATTTTTCTTTTCCGCTACATAAAACCTTATAGTTTTAGCCTTTTAGGGAAAGTTATTAAAATGCACTTAAATTATCGACTATTTAATATTTTACGAATTGCAACTTTTCCAACTCGTGATCATGCACATTTCGACAAGACAATAGTTCAAAAGTTGAATAGTCCCCTTAGTCTTATAATTATATGTTTTTATTATTCATTACACTATTTTATTTTCACGTCGACTTGCATTTTACTTGAATATAAACTTAACAGATCTCAAAGACCCAATCAAAATGATTGGTTATTTATCTGGGATTATCCTAATCATATTCGTATTTTTTCAAAAAAGTTATTGAAGCATATTTATCAACCATTTAATATTTGATCTATTTTATTTAGAAAATCGTTTGATGCATCCAAGTTTGCACCTGTTATTATATGCAGCCTTGGAGATCTACACTATCCACCAAAACCGAGTCACTTAAATAATAGTCTTCCAAAGAAAAAATAAAATAAATGGTTCAAATAATTTATGCAAAAGGTATAAATTTTAATTTTTAAAAATTATTTATTTGTCCAGATTAATAATGTCCGCATTGAAAATTATATATTCCCTAAAACTTAAAGCCAAATTCTATTTTAAAAATAAATTATTAAGGAGCTCGCATTTTTACATGCGAGTCCGTGAACTTGTAAAAACTTTGTCCATTTTATATTCCAAGTGATGATTGTGTATTTTGAAGGCATGATTGCAGTGGAGAAGTATTTAAAGAGCCTGTTTATTTTTTTAAGTAAATGGATGTCGTAATTATTTTTGTCCACGTGATTTCAAATTGAATGATCGCAAGAATGTTGCCGACTAAACTCAAATTTTTTTAAAAAATTATTGAACATCATGACACATCTTAAACTTTCTAATTTGATATATCTACTAACTAGAAATAATTATGAACTCTTATAACAAAGACGGGTCTCATAATATAAAATCCCGAAATAAATTTACTCCATATTTTTCCAGATGTTAAGCAAATTAATCCATATTTTTCCATGATCTTAAGCTTAAGCTTTGGTTTTGGGGGCACATCACTCCTTTCCAGTCAATAATGGGAGATGTCAACGTGGGAGGCACCCAGGACCACGAGACATCTTTGATGGACAAGGGCAATATCGTCATTCTTAAGCACGCGAGCAGAGAGCGAAGAGAGAGAAAGAGAAAGTAGAGAGAGAGAAACATGCCATTTATGTGGCCCCACTCAAACCTCGCTGCAAATAGTACGCGCAGACGGTTTTCTATCTTTGCTCTGAAAACTCTAAATTTGTAGATAATTCATCCTTCTCTCTCTAAAACTCTGATCTCTCTCTCTCTCTCTCTCTCTCTCTCTTATTGATTCCCTATCTCTCTCTAATACTCTTTTCTCTCTCATTAACTCTCTCTCTATTAATAGTACGGAGGGGCGGTTTTTCTGCAGGCGTAGATCTTCCTCAGGATATCGATTTTCACTCAAACCCTTCTCTTTCTCTCTCTAACTCACCCCTCTCTCTCTCTCTCTCTAAAAGCTTCTCCCTTTCCCTGTCTCTAACTGTAATAGCAGCACACAGACGTTCTTGTGCTTTAAATTAATCCCCTTCTCTCCGTTTCAGACACGGTAATTCTCCCATTTCTCTCTCTAAGATTCCTCCTCTCTTCTCTGTAGGCACAAATCCATCTCGCAAAATCTCTGTTTTCTTCTCGGGGGTTCTACTTTCTCTCTCTCTAACCCCTTTATCTTTCTCTCTCTAACACTTCCTCATCATGGAGGAGGCCTCTGCCGCTGCCCTCGAATCCATCACCATGGAGGACGCCTCTCATTCTAACCATGGTTGGCAGAAAGTCGTGTATCCAAAACGCCATAGAAAACAAGCCCTGAAAGACCAACAAAACCAGCACCCCGTTTCTGATCTCAATAAAATCAAGAGCAATGGCAATGAAAGCAACGTTTTTCGATCAGTGGAACAACAAGCAGAGGAAAGGCGTCGGAGGGTTGTGGAGGCTCAGAGGGCAAATGCCATTGCTGAATTGCCTGTGAAGAAAGATAGACTTTCTTTCTCATCAGATGATGAGAGTGATGAAGAGGGGGTGAAAAATAATGGGGTTTCGAATGGAGAGGAGAAGAAGGAGAAGGTGAAGAAACCCAAGAAGCCGAAGGTCACGGTTTCGGAGGCTGCTTCAAAGATTGATGCAGGGGATCTCTCTGTGTTTCTTGCTGATGTCTCGGTGAGTTCCTCTTTCTCTCTCTTCATTTCTATGAATTTGTTTGGTGATTGAATGATTGTTGCAGCTCTCTCGCTCTTTCTTTTCCCATGACCCCATTGGTGTAAATCTCTTTGCGATTAATGCCCTTCTTGCTCTCTCTTCCATTTGTGTAAGTCTATGAATCTGTTTGCTGATTCATTATCCTTTTTCTCTTATGTATATATCTCACTCGATTGGCTATTGCTTGCTCTCATATGTGTGGGAGAACTGAATTCGATTTGGTTATGAACCTTTTTTTTTTAGAATTCAATTGGTTTTATGAGAAATGGGATTGTAAAGAAGAAATAATAATATCTCCCTATGACTTATTTATATTTATGTGCTAATTGGACTTAATGATTCATATTGGTGCTCTAATTAGATAATTTATCGATACCCTTTTTGAATTCTCCATGAACTAAAACATATTTATGTTTTTCTTCTATCCTTTTATTTCTCTTTGGGTTTGATTGCTAGCTTTGCTGGTGTATGAATCAACCCATGGTGGGGTGTTATGATGAGCAAATTTCTCTTTGGGTTTGATTGCTAGCTTTGCTGGTCTATGAATCAACCCATTGTGGGGTGTTATGATGAGCAAATGTGATGTTGAGTTTGATTTGTACCATCCTTATTGTTACGGGATTTAATCCATGTGGGATTTCATGAAAACATGTGATCTTGGATATAATTTGTAACATCCTTGTTGTCTTCATTTCCTTTTCCCTTGGTATTCGAATTGCTTGTTGTCTATTTGTTTTTCTTATAGTATTTATATTGTTTTTCTTGTGCTGAATCTATCTTTTGTGGATTCTTACACTTTTCTGGTGCAGGCTTCGTACGAGACACAACCGGATATTCAACTCATGAGATTTGCTGATTATTTTGGGCGTGCATTTGCTCCTGTTAGCGCCTCTCAATTCCCATGGACCAAGCTGTTCAAGGAGTCTTCTGTTTCCAAGATTATTGATGTGAGTAGTTATTTCATTTACCACCCCTCTCTGTGTGTGTGTCCGGACCTTATCTGCATACTACAAAACTTTTCTGCTTCCTCCCAGATGTGTAAGGGACTGTTTCAATTTTGTTTACAACGTTTTTTGGTTCTGAACATCTATGCATTTCTTTATGTTTTTGTTCTTATTTTTATTCCTTTTGTTTCTCTGAATGGAAATGAGGATAAAATGATTCGTGAATTAACTATCTCAATAAATATTTAGGTTTTTATTAGTTTTTTCATTGATTCTTGCAAAAAGTTGAAGGAGTCTAGTTGAGCATTGCATATATTTTGATCACCTAATTCGTAAGGTGATTATTATTGCGATGGCATGGATGATGAATCTTGAAATGGAGCCCAAGACTTTTAGAAACAATTGAATAATTTTTGCAAAATATTTGCTGTCTAGGAGAAAATTGAAGGAGTTTTATTGCCAGGTTTTTTCCTTGTTAGATGGATTTGTTTCATCTTTGAAATAGTTGTTATCTACAATCATATTGGTTTGAAATTTTTTGAAATGTAAGTATGTGACCTCCCTGGTTTGTATGCCTTTTAAGATGATTAATTTTTAGTTTTTCTAAATCAGTAAATGAGAAGGGATTTGATACCAATGAATTGTTGATATCAATTAATGGGATATCAATTAATGGTGTGATCTTTTCATCTCCCAAGCACTCAAATAATATAATGACTCAAGACTAATACAAAATTTTTACCTGTTGGACTTAACATGATTGCTGCAATTGTGATCAGCATAATCAAGTGCTGACACAATTGGGACCTCAAGTTTTGTTTCCTGTTGTCTAGATTCTGAAATCTTTTGAAGAGTTGTCAGGTGAGAATTTGATGAATTTCAACACTGCAATGACCATAGGATTATTATTAGATTTGTTTGAATTGGAACTTGGAGAATACTCTTGATGGCTCTCATAAGTTGACATTTTGACTATAACTGTCCTTTGTTTGAAAATTCCCACCCTCTGGCATCTAAAGTTGTACGCTATGCGTGAGAACAATGAGGTTTAGTGCCTTATGTTTAATTTTATTTTGAGGACATAATTACAAATCATGAATGACACAAGTTTTTAGTTATCTGGAACAGCCAACACCAGAACCAACAGTGGGACCTTTATGGAACTTTTTGAGCTTCATCCCATCTTTTTTCCCCTAATTTTGGACAGGGTTATTATTTCTGTGTTCATACCATTTTACAGGTATCTCACCCAATTTTGTAGAGAAATAGTTGAAGTCGGATGTTTTGGGAATTGTAAAGAGCGCCCAATCCATGACCAGCCTTATTTATCTCTTGTAACTTTCGCAAATGTAATACACAATTGTTTGCCTTGTTCAAGAAAAAAAAGGACTGGTTTCATGTGTAAGAAATGAAGCAATGAAGCATATTTTCTTGGAACTTTCGGGACACATGGTTATTGAAAGAGTATATAGAATCTCTCATGGGATTAATAAATAGAATGTAATTTCCAGTTGGCTGACTTGGATCCTAAGGTTGTTGAGATTATGTTAGGTTCATGAGGTTCTGTGGAGCCAAATAATGATTACAGCGAAAAGAAATTGGGGCTAGCTGACTCGGACTCGACAGGCTGCCATATCCGGAACACCCAAAACTTGGGGTGTATATATTTTATTAGTAATTAATTATAATTGATTCAATGTTTGTCTAAATTAATTATAATTCATTTCATAATTAGTTTTGCATAACTTTGTATGTTTTTATGAAATTTAAGGATTTCACAATTTTCTATTTTTCTCCGAAATTCTGACAAAATGATGTCCATCCAGTTTTTTTATTTTTTCTATACTTCAATAACTTTTTTCACATCTTTTATGTACTTGTTATGTTGTTGGTTATTTCCCCCCTTTTTTTATTTGACTCTTTTAGATTCTCAGTCTGGACTTGGGCGAGTTGATTCTCACTTAGAGTGCGGGTACTCAGCCCAAGCCATGCTTTAAAACAGATTGAATAATACTGTGATTTAGGAAAGTGCCAAGAAAATATTGCAGGACTGTGAGGGATGCATCTAAAGTCCAATGAGGCAAGGTTTTATTTGTTTATTTGTTTTTGAATCTACCTGATTGTTCATTATGGGACATTGTCGTCGGACTTCTAAGCCTATTAATTATTTTTTAAATTCTAATTGTTAAGCATTATTCGTCCTTATTGGACTTGTGGGATGAAGAAGCCTTCGTTGATCTTCCATGTATTGAATTTTATTAACAACTATGGAATAAATTTAGGGTACATCTGTTTGTTGATGAACGTGAAACGAAAGTTTTGTGAGAGTGCTAGGACATCAGAGACTGATTGCCATTCTAAGCCAATGAGAGTTTGTGCCATTTGGCATTTAAAAGAAGAAAAGATGATGGAGCTTGTATAATTCTTGATAGGTGGGAATTGTGGGCTTATTAGCTACTCCAATATTTTGATGCTGTGAACAATAAATCATTGTTAAAAAATTCAGCCCCCGCCCCGCACCTAGGCGGGTGCCCTGGCTGTCCTTTCTTCTAGGCACCTAACTAGGCGGCCAACTCCCTGGCACCTTGGAGCAACTTCACCGAGGGTGGAAAAATGCCCTTGGCCGGGGGCATATTTTGGGATTGTTTTTTTGAGATTTCCCCCCTAATAAGGTGGAAAAGGGTTTGGGGGGACATTTTTGTCCCCCAAAATCCCTCTTGCATCCTAGAGAGAGAATGTAGATGATGCCCCATTGTGTTTGAGAGAGAGAGATAGGGAGGGAGCGAGGACAATGCCCCCTGTGATTGATCGTGTTTGTGAGAGAGAGAGAGAGAGAGAGAGAGAGAGAGAGTAGTGTACGGTACCGTTCTTTAGTATACGACTAAACGTCTAGTTTCGGACGAAGTTAAATTATAGTTAAAGTTTAGAGACAAGTAAAGTTTAGTTAGTA